CCTCCTCCCCCCCCCCGACACAGACGACAAGAAGGACGCATCATCGAGGTAGTGCTCTTCGACAACGTTTCCTGCACTCCTCGTCTGCTGGTGATGAGCGCCGGCCGCGTGGCCTTTCGGCGACGGTTGGTTGGCGCCCAGTCGGAGTGCCTTGCGGATCGCAGGCTGGGGGTGAAGGTACAGCTGCACCCCGTCGGCTGCCGTCTGAGCCTGCGCGTCGGCCGTCTCGACTGATCGAGCCACCGGTCGTGAACCCCGCCCACCCTCATCGCCGTCGTTATCGGCCCCTTCCGCCTCCTCGTCGGCAGAGTCTCGAGAAACAGCACCAGCAACAGCACCAGCAACAGCAGGCTTCTCTGTTGGCGCTTGCACTCGCGACGACGGCGGTGCTCGGCGTCGCCCGCGGCTAGCGGCCCCCCCTCCTCCTGCTGCTGCTGCTGATGCTGTTGGACCACGCCTCCTACCGATCGCCGGGGCGGGCGTCGCCTTCGGAGCAGGCGCCGCCTTCGGCGCCGGGCCGGTTTCGGCGCCCGCAGCGGGTGCGGTGCGTTGCGATCGCAAGTCCCTGAGCCTGTCCAGCTCTCGCTCCAGCCTGGCCTCCCGCTCTAGCATCTCCTTCCTCAGCGCGTCCACTGCCCTCCTGGCCGACATGCGCTGGTCGCGGGCACTCGCCAAGGCCGCCGCGGACCCGGAATCCGGGCGGGACGTAGACACACCATAGCCGCCATTCCCTGGACCTATCGCCGTTGCTTCCGCCGATTGGCGGGGCAGCGGGGGTGCCGCCGGCACTGCCGCTGCCCTACGGGCGGACGGCGGCTGCGCTAAGGCAGACCTCGAGCGCACGCGACGCCGCTGGCCAATGGCGGAGGCGGTGGCTCGACTCGCTGACCGTTTTTCCGGGGTCGGGATGGTGGAGATGGCGCGAAGCTCTCGCGGGAGGCCGTGACTCTGCCGCTGCCTGGGGGCAACCACCCCCGGCACGAAATACCCGTGGTAGTGCCCTCCTCCTGGTTGGTCAGCCTCGCCGCCGCCACCGCCGCTGCCCGGGTGCTTGAGATCGCCAGGCAGATTGTTCCCGGATGGTGCCTGCTGCTGCTGGTGTTTATTGCTGTGATGCTTCGCTTCCCCCCCTAGAAGCTTCCCGTGGCCCGGGAACGTAGGCAAGGGGAGAGGACGGTCCGGGTCCACCTGCATTTCGACCAAGGCACGCCTGTCGCTCGGCCTCCTGGTCACGCCTCCGGCAGCCGCCACCGCCGCCGCCGCCACGTCACCAGCCCTTCCGCCCCGGGTACCTACTCGAGCCCCGCTTGACACCGCGGCTACGGTTCGCCGGTAAGACCGCTCGCCTCCACCACCGGCGACAGCCGTGTTGCCGCCACGCCTCGACACGCCTTGAACGCCACCGCTAGCTCGACTTGCAACTCTGGCAGAACTTGTGGTGTGGCGATCGGCTGCCCCTCGCCCCTGCTGCCGCTGCGTGGGATCGGTGGGGGCGAGCATGATCACCGCGTCGAGGGCAATCTTGGCCTCCTTTAGCGCGAACAGCTCCTTGTGAATCCCCTCCACGTCGAGCGCCTGACGGACGACAAACGAAAAGAAAAGAGGCGTTTATTTTATCACCGGAGATTGTGGAAGCCACAGTAACGTATATTTTGCCACACACACACGCACATACAAAA